TATATATATATACTGTATGTATGTATATATACATCCATCCATCCTTCCATCTATCTATACATCTACCTCCATACATCTATACATCTATACATCTATACATCTATACATACATGCACACATCCAACCATTCATCCATAAATACATACATGCACCCACATACAAGATCTTGACCCACTTCTTTGTTATCAAGTTGTGGGTGTCACTGGTGCAAATGTCCAGCCGTTACAGTGCGAGAGTCGGGGGACACCCTGGACAGGTCTCCAGTCCATCACAGGGACACATAGAGACAAACGAGACAAACAACAATTCACTCTCTCACTCCTTAGAGTTACCAATCAGAGACACAAAGAATACATGCAAACTCCACCCAGAAAGGCCACTGGCCGGGATTTGAACCAGTGACCTTCTCACTGAGTAGCAACAGCTCTACCCACTGTGCCGCCTCTCATAGAAACAGAGGTCTGAAAATATTCCTGCAACTCTTCCTATATTTCAACTTGGAGGAAATGCATCGTTTGTTTCAGGCTGCTCCTGTGGTTGAAGCTCTTTAAGTTCGTCCCATCCTCTTTGCCTTGCCTGCTAAACACACACCAGGCCAGAAAGCAAGCCAATTTATTGACTTTTGATTTCTAAATGTCACCTTGACATTCTTTGCAAACCCAACTAGAAGGCAGATTTGGCTGAAAACCGACTTTATTCTTATAGGGAGACAAATATCCACATTTTCTGAAGGTATGAATCCTTCAGTTTAAAAAGACGTTTGTGTACATGTCTCAGTTTAGAAAACATTTTTTAAAAGGAGCATGCGTTTTTTTATTAGAAACTTTATTGTGAATGAGTGCACAATGGAGCCTTGAGCCACAAACTCTCCCCAAAAGAGTTTTGTTAAGATGTTACCATGCATATGTTCTGTGTCTACATGCCTTGAGACACTCAACGTGCTACAGTTCAGTTTGTCTTTATTCTGTAATTAAAGAGGGGGCTGGGACAAAGTGAGGGTGCTCTTCTGGCAAATCAGAACTCAAAACATTTCTGCTAGCCTGACAATCAGACAAATAACAGTAAATGAAATATAGTATTTTTTCCTCTTTATGTTTGTGGCCACTATGAATACCTGAAGAAAATGCATTTTTCTGTGAACGCCTAAGTTTAGGAGCCAAAATGAATCAAGAACTACATGGCTGACTAGTGGATGTTGAAGTGCTGCTTTCTTTATATTTTGAGGAAGGAATATTGGATTTCTTGGCTGCACTTGGACAAGTCTTTACAAGGAGAATATATACTTTTATTTGTCCAAAAGCATGAGTCAGACAGAGAAAGAAGCAGCGCAGTGATTCACACATTAGATTTTAGGATTCTGAGGATTTCTGAGTTAATAAAACAAAAGGATTCCAGGAGCTACAAATGTCAAACAGCACCTGGAAAATGTTTAATTAAAAACAGCCAAAAGAGCAATTTTATTAGATCACTGTAAATAAAAAATAAAATAAAAACCCTACAACTGACTTGGTTTATAGTACAGAAGTACACAACTGTGACCATAAAAACTGCTTTAAGGTGTCCACTTCAGGGCAAATGTACAATTTCAAGAAGTAAATTTAGTGTGTTCTTAAAGGAACATAGTTCCTCAGTAATACGGAGCGAAGTGCTGCTACTTACCCGTCTCCACGTCAGTGATCACAGCCGTGTTGTCAAATGAGCCGGTGAGGAGCTGTCGCCCGCAAGGGGTCCAACAGGCATCACGCACAGCTCCCGAGTGGCAGGTGTAACGCCTGAGGCATCGTCCACTTTCTGCTCCATCCCACACCTGTCAGGCATGGGCGCAAGCCAAAGTCACAAATAAACCCAGACTGCAGCAACAAAGCCATGAAAAACAGCACAAAAATGTTGTAAAATATGAAACGCATCACTCTTCTGTGCCTGAGAGAACAGAGTTATGTGACACAAACTACTAAAAGTAGAGGCCCCCTCATATTTATCTCCACAAGGCTTCAAAATGTGGATGGAGGGGCTCCGTAAACTTTTAATTATTCAAAACCGGAGGCAAAATGTTTGTTGTTTGGGAGTTGCCATGGTAGATTTTTGGACCCAAAAATACGCGAGTCTCACCTTCAACACCCTCCAAAATCACTAACTACACTCATTCAGAGTGTAACATGGCACTTTGAAGCCTCAAGTAACCAAATGAAGCTAAATATTATTAAAAAACTGGCATATCTGAACAAAAAGTTAAGCGTTAGGTGTATCAAGAAAATTAACTAAATGGATGGAAGTGTGTGTGTGTGTGTGGGGGGGGGGGGGGGGGGGTCAAGAAAATGTCTTGTTTTTCACATGGAGGAGCAAAACTTCAAAACTGTCCTGCAGCCAGCCTACAGGGGGCGCTTGTGCTTTGCGGCTTCAACTTCTGGGTATCCATCCTGTCTCTATCCGTCACTGTACATTGTAAAATGAAACTGTAGGTAACTATCTTCACTTACTTTAAGATATATTTCTAGTAGCTTATTGAGTAAACATGAGAAAAATGTGACAATAAATTATTGGATATTTAAAGACTCAAGAGGGATACACTGATGTGAAAACACACACACAAAAGCCAGAATAAAATTCACCAAACTGCATGATGCAAAAAAAAAAACGCATACAAAACTTCTTAGAGGATTGAAATCTAAGTGTGAAGAAGTATATTTACAGGTGTTGGTCATAAAATGAGAATATCATGAAAAAGTTGATTTATTTCAGTAATTCTATTCAAAAGTGAAGCTTGTATATTATATTCATTCATTACACACAGACTGATATATTTCAAATGTTTATTTATTTTAATGTTGATGATTATAACTGACAACTAATGAAAACCACAAATTCAGTATCTCAGAAAATTATAATATTACTTAAGACCAATAAAAAAAAGATTTTTAGAAATGTTGGCCAACTGAAAAGTATGAACATGAAAAGTATGAACATGTACAGCATCAATACTTAATTGTTGCTCCTTTTCTCTGGATTACTGCATCAATGCGTTGTGGCATGGAGTGGATCAGTCTGTGTCACTGCTCAGGTGTTCTGAGTCCAGGTTGTTCTGATAGAGGCCTTCAGCTCTTCTGAATTGTTGGGTCTGGTGTATCACATCTTCCTCTTCACAATACTCCATAGATTTTCTATGGGGTTAATGTCAGGTGAGTTTGCTGGCCAGTTAAGAACAGGGATACCATGGTCCTTAAACCAGGTACTGGTAGCTTTGGCACAGTGTGCAGGTGCCAAGTCCTGTTGGAAAATGAAATCTGCATCTCCATAAAGTTGGTCAGCAGCAGGAAGCAGGAAGTCTCTAAAACTTCCTGGTAGATGCTGCGTTGACCTTGGACCTCAGAAAACACAGTGGACCAACACCAGCAGATGACATGGCACCCCAAACCATCACTGACTGTGGAAACTTGACACTGGACCTCAAGCAACATGGATTCTGTGCCTCTCCTCACTTCCTCCAGACTCTGGGACCTTGATTCAAAGGAAATGCAAAATTTACTTTCATCAGAGAACTGATCTTTGGACCACTCAGCAGCAGTCCCAGGCGAGACGCTTCTGACACTTTCTGTTGTTCAAGAGAGCCTTGACACAAGGGATGCAACAGCTGAAGCCCTTGTCTTGCATACATCTGTGTGTGGTGGTTCTTGAAGCACTGACTCCAGCTGCAGTCCACTCTTTGTAAATCTCCCCCACATTTTGGAAATGGTTTTGTTTCACAATCCTCTCCAGGCTGCAGTTATCTTTGTTGCTTGTACACTTTTTCTACCACATCTTTTCCTTCCCTTCTCCTCTCTATTAATGTGCTTGGACACAGAGCTCTGTGAACAGCCAGCCTCTTTAGCAATGACCCTTTGTGTCTTGCCCTCCTTGTGCAAGTTGCCATATTTAGGACAACTGTCAAGTCAGCAGTCTTCCCCATGATTGTGTAGCCAACAGAACTAGACTGAGACCATTTAAAGGCCTTTGCAACTCTTTGAGTAAATTAGCTGATTAGAGTATCTAGGCACCTGGTGTCTTCAATATTGAACCTTTTCACAATATTATAATTTTCTGAGATACTGAATTTGGGGTTTTCTTTAGTTGTCAGTTATAATCATCAACATTAAAATAAAAAAACATTTGAAATATATCAGTCTGTGTGTAAATAATATAATATACAAGTTTCACTTTTTGAATGGAATTACTGAAATAAATCAACTTTTTCATGATATTCTAATTTGATGACCAGCACCTGTGTATGTTTGCATGTATATATATATATATATACATACCGGAATCTAAAAAAGTTGGGACACTAAACCAACATCTAATATTTTATTCAGAATAGAACACAAATCACAGATCAAAAGTTTAAACTGAGAGAATGTTTCATTTTAAGGGAAAAATCTGTTGTTTCCAAATTTCATGGCATCAACAAATCCCAAAAAAGTTGGGACAAGTCCATTTTTACCACTGTGTGGCACCCCCCTTCTTCTTACAACACTCAACAGACGTCTGGGGACAGAGGAGACCAGTTTCTCAAGTTTAGAAATAGGAATGCTCTCCCATTCATGTCTAATACAGGCCTCTAACTGTTCAATCGTCTTGGGCCTTCTTTGTCGCACCTTCCTCTTTATGATGCACCAAATGTTCTCTATAGGTGAAAGATCTGGACTGCAGGCTGGCCGTTTCAGTACCCGGATCCTTCTCCTACGTAGCCATGATGTTGTGATTGCTGCAGAATGTGGTCTGGCATTATCGTGTTGAAAAATGCAGGGTCTTCCCTGAAAGAGATGACGTCTAGATGGGAGCATATGTTGTTCTAGAACCTGAACATAGTTCTCTGCATTAATGGTGCCTTTCCAGACATGCAAGCTGCCCATACCACAAGCGCTCATGCAACCCCATACCATCAGTGATGCAGGTTTCTGAACGGAGCGTTGATAACAACTTGGGCTATCCTTGTCCTCTCTGGTCCGGATGACATGGCGTCCCAGTGTTCCATAAAGAACTTCAAACCGTGACTCATCTGACCACAGAACAGTCTTCCATTTTGCCACACTCCATTTTAAATGACCGCTGGCCCAGTGCAAACGCCTGAGCTTGTGGAGCTTGCTTAGAAATGGCTTCCTCTTTGCACTGTAAAGTTTCAGCTGGCAACAGCGGATGGCACGGTGGATTGTGTTCACTGTCAATGCTTTCTGGAAGTATTCCTGAGCCCATTCTGTTATTTCCTTGACAGTGGCATTCCTGTTTGAGGTGCAGTGACGTTTAAGGGCCCGGAGATCACGAGCATCCAGTAGAGTTTTACGGCCTTGACCCTTACGCACAGTGATTGTTCCAGATTCTCTGAATCTTTTGATGATGTTATGCACGGTTGACGATGATAACTTAAAAGTCTTTGCTATTTTATGTGCGTAACACCATTCTGGTATTGCTGCACTATCTTTCTGTGCAACAATGGTGGAATTGGTGATCCTCTTACCATCTTGTCTTCTGAGAGACACTGACACTCTGAGAAGCTCTTTTTATACCCAATCATGTTGTCAATTGACCTAATTAATGTTAGTTGGTCTTCCAGCTGTTTGTTATATGCTCAATTTCCTTTTTCCAGCCACTTATTGCTACTTGTCCCAACTTTTTTGGGATTTGTTGACACTGTGAAATTTTAAATCAACATATTTTTCCTTTAAAATGTTACATTTACTCAGATTAAACTTTTGATCTGTCATCTATGTTATATTACGAATAAAATATTGACATTTGCCATCTCCACATCATTGCATTCAGTTTTTATTCACAATTTGTTTAGTGTCCCAACTTTTTTGGAATCCGGTTTTTATATACACACACACACCCACATATATATATAATTTTTCTACTTTTCAAACTTTAGAAATTACATCCAAGCAAACTAACACCAAATTTTGATGTAATATGAAGCCAAAGTAAATCAATGCAAAATGAGTGGAAAAATAAGCATAATATTTGTACAAATTAACTTCAGACATGAAATTAAACAGTAATTTTTAGTTCCTTGAAATGGTCATAAATCATTAAGCAGCTCAGCGTTCTTAGAGGTTTCTTTGAGAACAGAACAGAAAAGGCTCCTGCTGCTTTTCCTGTTTCTGACAGCCATGACTACACGACATAAAGCCCAGCTGCTTTCAAACATGGCATCATGATGAAAATAACGAGGATTAATAAAAACCATGTTAATCAGCCATACGAGTCTATTGTTGCTTTTACATTTGTCTTCACTTGTTGAAATGGGATTGAAATAGGCCAACATGATGATCAGTGTGGCATGTGCTTTAATCGGGGGGGGCCTGTTGGTTTTTGTTGTTGTTTTTTCTGTTAGACATGTCAAAGCACAAAGGCTTCTCTAAAGAAGCACAGATAAAAATCCAATGGCTGGTCTAGTTTGGCACCTGCTGACTCTACTAATGAAGTGTTTCTTGGCATTACCAGAGCCATGGAAGAACTTCAGCGTGGAGGTGGAGCTCTGCAGACCTTTTTTACTGCTTCACTGTCAAACTTGCCTCAATGCAGCACAAGAAACACAAAAGTATTCCACTTGAGCTCCCAGAGGAGAAGAGAATAAAAAGGTAACATGTTAATCCTGTATAGTTAAATATCAGCCTCCTGGGAGGACAATAGTAGAGGGAGTGACACTTTTAATTGCAACAGATAAAATATCAGAGTGATCTATCAATTAGAAGAGCTTTGGTTCTTTGCTCAGCAGGATATTCCTGTTCTCTGCTTGAGCCTAGGCTAAGAGAAACACTGCCATCTGAAGGTGAC